ATTGTGTCATATTCACAATCATGTACATAGAATATTTGAGAATATGACGTGAGGTTGATACAATTAACCAATCTTAGATAGATGGGTAGATGTTGAAGTTAGAGTGCGATTTGTATAAATATAATTGTGATCAGTAATACATTGTATGTTATTTTATTAAAAAATGTAAATATTGTTTATTTAATTGTAACTCGTGTTTTAATGTAATTGTATATTTAACTATATAAATGCTCATAAGTTTAAAAATCGAACGAAAGACTTCGATTGTGAAATGGTGGAAAACAAATTATGGAGATCTAATTACAACTTTATAATAGCTGTTTCGAAATAGAAAACGACGATCGAAGATTAAATAGGAGCAATTGGAAGCAATTCAAAGTTTAAAAATCGGACGGAAGATTATTCGATTGTTAAATGCCGAAGAACAAAATAGGGAGACTTAATTGCAATAAAATATAAAAATAAGGGTGAAATTGTTAAAAAATGAAAAGTAAAGATATTTTCCATAATAATAGTGAAAGATAAAGACGTACTAATTATTAGTTAAATAAACTCAAACCAGTCTCAAATATACGATATGTTAAGAGCTCAATCATATAACAAATTGGCACAAACTTTTAGAAAACCAGTTAATTTTTTATTTGATTTTATATTGAAAGTATGTCTTTAAGTGTTTTAATTTATTTATATACGAGTCAAATTTATTTGTAGAATATTTTGTTGATGGATAAATTCAACATTGGTTAAATATTGAATTATAGATCAAATTTAAAATGTTGACATTTTAAGATGGTACATCAAATTTTAATATGGTATCAAGTTCATTAAGCTTCAATGAATAATTTGATTCAATTAAGACTCAAAAAATAAGTAGCGAATTTCAAAATTTGTTTGATCAAACGAGCCACCATCTTAAAAGAGCGTGTTAAGGTATAAATCGTATATCGAATAAAGATGAAAATTTAGATAACATATAAATATTTGTATTACTTTTCTTAATAAGATTGTCATCAATTCTGTTTGATTAAAACTAAAACTTGAGTATATGGATTTCAAGATTGATCGGCTCAAATGAGCCACCATTTTGAGGGGGCATGTAGAGATAAACTCCATTAACTAAATACTGAAATATAGATCAACGTATAATACTTTGTGCTACTTGTAACGGACCTCCCGTTCGGCCCTTCAGGTTTTAGGGACCCCCAAGGCAGCCTACCCCATCCATGCGATCGGCAAGCTTAGATATGCAATATAAGCATAACATAGGGATAGAAAGCATGTCATCCAAACCTGTTAAAAGGATATCGTCAGTGCACTTTCGAGAAATANAGTAGACTAGTCCAAGGGAGAGGTTTGAAAATCAGAAGAATTCATTTTAAAGTTCTATTTCTGTCTGAGGGCAATATAAATGTTATATCATGTTCCATCAACACTACATATTCTCTTTGCATTCATAAATCTTCCATGATGAGATTGCCTAGAAAAAAGAAGTTGGAAATTTTTTTAGCCCTAGTAACATTCCCATTATTTTTAAAATAAATTTTTTTTTCTTATTTTCAATCACACATACAATAACAATAAATGTAAATTTAAAATTTTTTTCCTTATTTTTTAACTACATATTCTCTATCAATTTACTATTCTGAAATGCATTACCAAAAAAAAAGGGGCTCAAACATGCTTAACAATAAATAAATATGAGATGATTTGTTATGATTTTACTTTTGTCACTAGGCATCAGTTTGGGAAGCCATCATCATAGCAATGCCTCCATTCTAAAAAGGGTGATTGGCATAAAACGTCTCTACTTTTGCCTGTCTTTATGGAAAACGTCTCTACCTTTCGTTTCTTGACGTAGAATGCCCCTACCTTTCATTTTTATTGAGCAAAACATCATTTTCCTTAATTTTTAACGTAAAATGACCGATATAGCCTCCAATTTAAATAAAAAAAGGAAAATAAAAGAAAAATAAAAAACAAATTGCAATTTGCTTCTAAACTTTTTTTTTAAAATGCAAATCAGTCCAAAACACTAATTTAATTTCACCCAACATCACAAACCCTAATTCTCTCCCTCTATTCTCTCTCTACAACCCGTCATCTCCCTCCAACCGACAACCTCCATCCATTCTCTCTCTACAGCGTCCGTCGTCTTCGCCCTCCACAACCTCTCACAACCACCATTTCAGGAGCCATCGTCGACGACTTCGCCCGCCACAACCATTCACGGCGTCGCCAGCCAGAAGCATGAATCCTCGGCCATTCTTTCCTCCTCCACCATGACTTCCATCTCCTCCATTCCCAATCTCTCACCCTGGAATCCTTTCTCTCTTCCACCGCCATTTCACT